TCTGGCAGCTGCTGGCCTCATTTTCCCAGGGCTGGTCCTAAGGGCATGGTCATCTGGCTCTGCACTCCCACACGTAGTTCCCGGCACACCCACTCTCCCACCCAAGGAAGTATGTTGGAAAGCAAGATTTTCAAAGTGATCTTTTTATATGGAAACCATTAAGTCTGATTTTTTCCTTTTTAAGTGCCTCACCCTCCCACTGCAGTGCTTTATTAATAATAACAAATTCTAGTGACAGGCCTCCCGGAAGATCAAGATAGCCCGATGTGTCACACACAGACACTGGGAACTGCAGCTTTAGATACTGGTCCTCCTCAGGGCTCCATCCTGGGGCTTTTCGTCCACAGTCTCTCTCTCTCTCTCAGCTTGTGGTACTGTAAATTTGCTATTTGATGCTATTCTGAGTAGAGAAAAATTAAAATTGTAATTTATTAGCATGAATTTTACCGTTGATATCTCTATACTGTGCTATGCCAGTTTCCCAATGTAAGCATACGATCAGTTAAGTGCTATGAAGAATCTCTGAACATCACAGAAATTGCATTTTGTAGCTCACATATGCATATGTATTTAGTCCTTTACCAGATCAGTGTAAATGCCGTGCAAACCAAACTCAACTATTTTTACTTCCCTTCTTGATATGTACACACTCTCTACTAACACTCTCTCTCCCTTTGGCTGACAGATAGAAAAGACAGTCCAAACAGAAAAGGAACTGTGGGGTGTCTTATCTTTCCTCCTCCTGCCTGTCATCATTGTCAGCATACGTTGTTGGCTACTACGGAGAAGTAACAGGAGTGAAAAGGACAGGACAGGGCTCTTTGGTTGGTCATGTTTCTTAAAATACCCTGCCTTCCTTCTGTGGCCTCAACAATTTTGGTTCAAGCAGAAGGGATGGCCTGTCTGGGCTGTCAGCTCTCCGCTCACCGGGCCCTCAGTGCCACAGGCTTACCGTGGTGTGGTTTCCAAGCGGCTGTTTGCTCTGTTCTTGCTCTTCCTTCAGTCTTGCATCTTCCTGCAAAGGCCTCCTGGATTTTCTTTCTGGTTTGAACTCCACTTTCATCACAACACATGCATCTGGTCCACCCGGTGCTGTGCTCAGGGGGCAACCTGGATGCTATACCTGAATGGGGCAGCAAGGACAATGAACGGGCACATGGCTCCCATCTCTCTGCTCACAACATGCTCCATCATCCATCCAACTTCATTTACAGAACAAAAGTCAAAGAAAATTATTAAGGATTTCAAGATGGTGACAGCAGAAATTTAAGCCACGCTCAGGACCCGCTTGAGACCAGACCCTGCCTGGTTCTCTGGTCACATCCCCATGAAGCCGGCCCTTCCCATTGCCTCTACGCCTGCCACTCTGGTCCTGCTGTTCCTTCAGGGCCTGCTGT